TTTGCCAATCTTCCATTGACCAATTTTGGTGAGCCTGTGCGAATTGTAGCCTCAGTTTCCTGTTCTTAGCTGACAGAAGTGGCACCCAGTGTGGTCTTCTGCTGCTTTAGCCCATCTGGCTCAAGGTCTGATGTGTTGTGCATTCAGAGATGCTCTTTTGCATACCTCAGGTTGTAACAAGTGGTTATTTGAGTTACTGTTGCCTATATATCAGCTTGAACTAGTCTGGCCATTCTTCTCTGACCTATGGCATCAACAAGGCATTTGAACACACAGAACTGCCGCTCACTGGATATTTTTTTTTCGAACCATTCTCTGTAAACCCTAGAGATGGTTGTGTGTGAAAATCCAAGTAGATCATGAGTTTCTGAAATACTCAAACCAATCCCTTTGGCTCCAACAACCATGCTACATACAAGGTCATCTTAAATCACCTTTTCTTCCTGGCCGGTTAGTGGATATGTGTATGTTTACCTTTGTAAAGTAAATATCATGTTAAAGTCTTAATTTACTGTCAAACATAATAACACTTTAAAAAATGAATAATTTAAAAAAAAAACACCCATAAATAAAACAAAATCAGCAACAAATTCTATACTTAATACTAAAAAGAAAAAAAAAACTTTTGACAAATGAAACTACAAAACTAAAATCTAGGGGGAAAAGTAGGGGAAAAATCTTTGAATATAGGATTTTGTTGTTGGATCCCCAAACATTTTTGCTTAAAAGCAAAGATCTTATTTGAGAAAATTTGCCGTGTGTGTATGTGTGTACCTGTTTGTGTGTGAGTGAGAGCTAATGACCAATTGACCCAACACGTGTGCATCTGCAGGCTGTCCTGAAAGCCATATGCTGACAGCAGCTCGGCGTCGATGTCTGCTGGACAGACTCACAACCGCCACTGCTGTCCTGCCAACATTGTTTAGCAGAGCATGATACTGGTTTCCTGGAGAGTGTCATCTGGGAGACTGGAACACACACCGCTCTATCCACTCACACACACACTCAGTGGCCTTTCCTTCCTCAGCTAAATTTAGTGGCCGCTGCACCTCTGAGACAAACACACTGGAGAAGTTGATCATGACATCACAGGAAGAGAAGGGAGGGGGAGGGGCCACAATAACAGACATGTCATCACCCTGTTAGCATTTCACATGACATCATCTCACAACGCTGATTCACAGTAATAGTTCAAGACAAAGGAAAACTCACTCTGTTGTCTTGATTTCACTTTTGGGCTGGACGGTGGCTTAGTGGTTAGCACTGTCGCCTCTCAACAAGAAGGTTGCTGGTTTAAGTCCAGGCTGGGTTAGTTGGCATTTCTGTGTGGAGTTTACATGTTCTCACTATGTTAGTGTGGGTTTCCTCCACAGTGCAAAGACATGCGTCATTTAATGTTAATTAAATGAACTAAATCGGCTTTAGTGTATGAGCGTATACCTGTCAACACTCCTGTTTTCCCAGGATTCTCTCGTGTTTTATAATTCTATCTTGCTACCATCCCATAAAGGTATTTTCCCGTATTTTTCCCAAATTTTAAATCTTTAAATAAAGGGTGGCAATAAACATCAAAGAGCTGATCCTTCCTATACACAACCTACGATCCTTCCTATACGCCTTAAATACGCAGTACTTGACTCTCAGACGTGCTCCATACATGCTCCATAAATTTCCTGTATTTAAGGTTTAATATTGTGCAAAAGAGTTATTTAAGGTTAAAGTAAGCAGTGGAACAAGATTGTGGTACGTTTATAGTAAACCTCGTTTTCTTTATTGAGTTTTTGTAAGATGGAGTTTAAATAAAGTGTCAGGTGCATAAGAGAGAAGAGGGTTTCTACAGGTGGTTTGTCAAGCCCACTCACCTGTATGAAGCCCAATTTGAAATCCGCAATGTTTCAATGTACAATTGTTATGTAAACAAACTGCAAAAAAGCTTAAGTTTTTACTTTTACAATTAACAATTTTACTTTTGCAGTTAACAATAGTGTCACAGTTGCCATCAATAGACTTATTTCATGCGGCCGCCAAAAAGCAAAATTGAGGCTGTTGTGGGAAGTAACCCAGTGGTATCTCCTGAGTCACACAGGAATGTTGTGTACCTGATTGTATATACTATCAGCAGTGCTGGAAAGAGTACTGAAAAATCCTACTCAAGCAAAAGTACCATTACTTGCTTAAAAATGTAGTGTAAGTAAAGTAAAAGTATCTGTTGTAAATATTACTCAAAGTATGAGTAAAAAGTAGACCTTTCAAAAGTACTCAAGAGTAGTGAGTATTAAGCTGTTAAAAGCTGATGCGTTTACATGTAATTTGTGCATGTGTGTGTAAATGTAACATTCTGTAGTTATTGCCCAGCAGGCACACAACATCATAAGACGTTAATATTAGGTTAGATTTAAATTGTGATGTCAGGTGACCAATATTCAATATCTAGCCAGTGTTTAAGGACAACATTATTTTGATGTTCAATAATGACGTAAAATGAGGTTGATATTTGGTCGATTTTAGGTTGTTAGAACGAGACAAAAATCCGACATCTGAAAGACATCTGAAGGTCTGTTCTGAATGAAAAGTGAAAATAAAAAAGGATATCAGATCTCATTTTCAGCTAAGGTCAAGGAAATAGCAATAGTTAGCTAACGTTTTCTTTCCCGAACAAACGGTTAAGATTCCATTTATCAAACTCAAGTTAATGAACTGATTCTTTCACTATATTAAACTTATAACGATATTGAATTCTGGTACTGAAATAAAAAAATTCCCTCTGACATTTAAGCGCGGTTCAACGAAACAATGTTGATTTGCCATAGTATTCACCAGTGTTCAACAATAATTACTGTGATTGGCCGTAAAGGTCATCAGTTTACCACTCTTCATTGCTGTTTATCGAGTGCAAGCACAGACGAGCAGTCGACTGAATCATTGTGGCTTTAAAACGCACCGGTGTTCGTGTTTGCACAGTGTTCTGTGTTTGTAACGGTTTTTACTTTGTGAAGAGCGGTGAACTGATGACATTCATGGCCAATCACAGTCATTTCCGTTGAGCACTGGTAAATACTATGGCAAATCAGTGGCACTTAAATGTTAGCGGGAAATGGACGTTTTTAAAACAGAGTTCCGAGACAACACGATTGCAGACACAAGGGTGTGAGCTACAAATGACTGCATTGTTTTATCGCTCATTGGGTTGCATAGGCTGAAGCAGGGAAGCCCTGACGGTGTTTACCTGGTGCCATGAACTAAAATCTAGAAGGACACTCTTTAAGTTATTTTGTTTAATGTCTAATATGCTTTTAGTCGTTTAAGTTAAACTTAAAATTAAACATCAAAAAGTAATGTTTACACCTCAAATGCATTTTTAAATCGTGCCAACAGCTGGAGGTTTATAATCCACAGCATGTTGTTCCAATGTTTACAGTGCTGATCCTCTACTTCCGGGTTTCGTCCCACCACAGCCTCGCTTTCATGTTTTAAAATGGCAGCCGTGGGAAATAAGCCTATAACCTCGCAGTGCGATGATTAGTGTCAACAGCACTTTCAGCAACTTTCCCAATCTTGTTCCCACTATCTCTCTTCATTTTGAAATTTGTGGTTTTAAGATGAACTAAAGTCTTATGGCTTTGGAACAACATGAGAGTGAGTAAAATGATTTTTGGATAAACAATCTCTTTAAAGGTCTTGTGAAAGTAAAATGAACATTTTTAGATGTTAGTTGCAGTCTTATCTGTAAGCTAGTGTGGCCCAAAACAGTGGCAAAATTAGCATTTGCAAGTTATAAAACTGATATAAACATTCAAAGCTTCATCATACTACAATTTCTCATCAAATCTTGACCAATCAAATGCTCTCTAGTATCAGACATGCCTCGCCCCCTTCAAGATGCTTCTCATTTGCTTTTTATTTGATGCTCGAGCTACATCACTCTTACAGGCAGAGCTGTGCGAAAGACTAAAGATTATTGGCAGATTTTTAAAAAGGGGAGGAGCTACTCTATGCCCCGCCCTCTCTTCATTTTTCAGATTACGTCAAACATCAAATCAAAAAGCACATTTCAAAGCACTTCATGGGATCTTTAAAGCAATTCTTGATTATGCATCCATCAGATGACAGCAAGTAGGCGTTCTAACACATTAAGAGCAGTTTTATAAGTATGACAGGCTCTGTGTTCAAAAGTTTCTTACTGATTTTATCAGGACTGAAAGGAATAAATCAGTTTTTCCCGTTCCAGCTGAGAGAGCAGGTTAAACTCAGGGGGCAGAACGGCAAAACCCACACGGCCCACTCTAACCTGCGCACACTAAATCTGTTCTACTGCAGAGCCCATCAGATGAGCTTGTGTCCTAATTCCTGTATTCAGGAAGAGGCTAAGAGCGGGAGTGCTGATCTGGCAGCGGGTCCGCCGTGTCCCCGATGAGCTCGAAAAATAAAACAGGCCTCCTATTTTGAGAGTCTGTATGAATGCGGCTCGATATCTCTCTCTCCGACACCTCCATCCACCTCCACATATGCACCGCGGGGCCCGTGTTCTCGCTCTCTCTCTGCATAATAAGATTAAGCAGTGGTTTCCTGACATTGTGGGTCTGGTGCCTCTCCCAGCTCCTCTTCCCCCCACGCCAAGCTGATGGCGAGTGGGTGTTGAATCGGGCCCGAGTGGGGTCCGCGTGGGCCGCTCGGGATGGCAGGAAATTGTTTGAAAAGGAATTATAAAACCCTTGCAGTTTCCGTGCCAACTCTCTGCCACCCTCCATCCTTTGAGACAACAAAAAGAGGCAGAGAGCAGGAAGTTATGTGAGGGGCCTTTCCCTGTGGAGAGAGACTCACAGAGGGAATCTATTACTGGGGTCGTGAACTTTGGCATCGGCAGGTGATGTTGAGGGAGATGTTTTTACCGAGCGCCTTTGGAAAGCCAGTGAATAATGTGCTTCTGGGTGACTTTGAGTCTCTTTTGTGCTGAGATGCTCTTGACTGATTGGCTTCTCCTCTCGCTTTTCTTTTTACAGATTGACCTGGAGCCTGAGGGTAAGGTGTACGTCATCATCGATCTGTCAGGATCCTCCTGCGAAGGTGAGAGTCTTGAGAACGCAGCAGATTAACACATGAAACAAACTGTTGCAAAGACTGTGGATGTGTAGTCAGGGCTTTAAAGAAATTACTGACAAAAAAGTTAAGCAGTTCAAAGATATTTTTGAGTCTTTTTATATACAAGAGCACATTACATTGATCAAAAAATGGAGTTTAAGATAAATCATGTTACATAAGATTTCTATTTCAATACTTTCCATTGAACTAAATAATCATTAAAGAATCATGGATTAAGTAAATAAATAAGCAAACAGAAAATATAAAACAGTTGTTTTCACTATAAAATTAATATTATTAATTAAATTTGTTTAGTTTTATATTAATATGAAACAACTATTTTATGTTTGTTTGTTTTAATAATAATAATAATACTTACTCTTTCTTACTCCCAGAGCCATTTAGCTCTAACATCTAGTTTTTATGTGGTGGGTTGTTAGCCCAAAGCTCGTGAACATGGGGAGAACATGCAAAATCCACACAGAAATGCCAACTGACCCAGCCGGGGCTTGAACTAGCCACCTTCTTGTTGTGAGGCGACAGCACTAAGCACTGCGCCACGTGTTGCATAATAATAATAATAATTCTTAATCACCAGTTTATTAAATTAAATAGATTTAGGGTCATGTAACGCCATAGTTTAACTAACTAATATTATAATATAACTAATATATTAAATGAGTGTGGATGTTTCCCTGAGATAGTTTGGAGCTGGAAGGGCATCCGCTACGTAAAACATATGCCTGTTAAGTTGGCGGTTTATTTCGCTGTGGTGACACCGGATTTATAATGAGACTAAGCCGGAAAAAAATGAATGAATGAACTAATATATTATATAAATTCTATTATGTAATATATTTGTAAATTAATTTCTGTTCAAAATAAAACCTCTTGATCTTAAATGTTTATCTAAACTTTCTGTTTCCAGTGAGAATATTCTTTTTTATTTTTAAAATAATAATAATAATAATAATAATAATGATATTTAAATGAATAATGAAAGTAAGCAGCATAACAGTTTTCCTATTAGTAATAATTTCCTGATGAAAATCATAATCTTACAGTAATTCAAGATATTAAAAGTTATGTTCGTTTTCACTATTTTGTGACTTTATATTTAAGTTAATGTCTAAAATGTTAGAATATTTGCTTTTATCTGGGTATCTGCGAGGTCTTAAAATGCCTTAAATTTAAAAAACTAAATCTTAGGCCTTTAAAAGTCTTAAATTTACTGAAATGTTGGGTTGTAGGTCTTAAATCATTTTAAACGGGTCTTAATTTTCCTATGTCCAGGTAAAGCCACCCTATCGAGTCGACACCCAATCACTCAATCACCAATAATCAATCTCAGTGCAACTTTTGTTTTTATATTTAAGTTTTTTTTATTGCAAAGAGAGACAATTCACAACAGCTGTTAGACATTTTTACTGAAAATTCTGCAAATGAAATTCCCTAATCAGGGAAAGAAAACACAGCAACGCATCCCTTTACATGATCTTTTATTACAAAAACAATTTATAGAAGTACAGAAGTAACGAGGCCATTAGAAAAAATCCTTAGTGTTTAGCCCTGTATAAGTCTAAAATTTCATTCATAATGGCTTTAAAAAGGTCTTAAAAAGTCTTAAATTTCGCTTGAAGAAACATGCAGAAACCCTTACTGCAAGAATTCTTTGCAGAGAAAAAATATGTTCCACTGAACTTAATACAAATGAATTAATCAATATTAATTAATCCTTGGTTTCATAAATTAATTAACGTAAAAAATATAAACAATCTGTTTTCAAAATAATATTAACAGTAATAATAATTCCTAATCACTATTTTATTATTTCTCAAGGGTCACGTAGTTTTGTTATTTTAATTTTAATATTTAATTATCTAATACTTTTAATTATATTTTAATTTTATTTATTTATGTTGAAAATAAAACCTCTTCATTTGATAATGCTTTTTTTATCTAAATCTTCTGTTTCCCGTCAGAATCTTTTTATTTTTTTATTTTTACAGTAATAATAATATTGAAATAAAAAATGAAAGTAAGCAGAATAACTGGTTTCTTATCAGCAGTAATGATCACAATACCACAATTTCCTGATGAAAAGCATAATATTACAATAATTCAAGATAATAAAATAGAAATAGTTATTTTCATTTTCGCAATTGTGATGTTATACTATATATAACAATTGCAATATACTCTGAATGCAGGGTACTCCACATGTTTAAGTTTATGTATAAAATATTTAAATATTTGCTTTATTGATAAACCAAATACAAATTTTCCGAACTTTTCCATACCAATACCAATTAAATCAGAATAAAAGAAAACTTACATCAAAACAGACTACAACAAAAACAGACTAAGAACTTACAGCACAAAAATGTCCTAAAAATTAATGTGTGGTTTTGTGCATTTGCTGACAACTGAATAGTAATGATCGGAGAAATGGTATGTCAGTCTTGATTGTGGGCGTTTGATAGATTCATGAAATCCTCTTGGTTTTGTGATGCATCATTAGTGCATCAAGAGAAAGGCCTTGTGAGTGAGAGGAAGTGTGTGTGGAAAGCTGCAGTGTCCATTAGGGAAATCCCACTCTTTAACGCTTGTGTGTGTGTGTGTGTGTTTGTGTGTGTGTGTGTGTTTGTGTTTGTGTTTGTGTTTGTGTGTTTGTGTGTGTGTGTGTGTGTGTGTGTGTGTGTGTGTGTGTGTGTGTGTGTGTGTGGATCTGCGGGGGTTGAAGCTGTTCTTTCTTACAGTATATGTGAGTCTGTGTCTGTGTGAATGTTGTGTGTGTGTAAGCATATGTTTTGAGAGCCCACTCAGAGACCTGAGGCTGGTGCTGGGGGAGACCTGACTTTAGCCGTGGTAAACTAATGGTGCAGACACAGTGCTGTGCTGTGATTCAGTTTAATTCCCCATTCAGTTTATAACCGACTGGATGCATTAGTGGAGATGATCATGACAGATAATCTTCACTGAATAACAATTCAATCAAATTCAGACAATGGAGTGGACTCTGTGTTTTAAAGGGATAGATCACCAAAAAAAAAATGTCTCCCATCGTTTTATCGCATGGAAAATCAAATGACTTTTTATCTATTGAACAACCGCAGCTGTCTAATCTCATTCGTGCATGTGCGCATTCCAAATTGGTTTGACATCAATAGCTGTTTCCATCCAAAAAAGTCTATTCAAATATTGTAAATCATTTAAATTGTTTGTGAATAAATAACCTATATATATATATATATATATATATATATATATATATATATATATAGTTGAAGTCAGAATTATTAGCCCTCCTTTGAATTTCTTTTTCTTTTTTTAAATATTTCCCAAATTATTTTTAACAGAGCAAGGAAATTTTCACAGTATGTCTGATAATATTTTTTTCTTCTGGAGAAAGTCTTTATTTCTAAAATAAAAGCAGTTTTTAATTTTTTAAAAACCATTTTAAGGTCAAAATTATTAGCCCCTTTAAGCTATATATTTTTTCGATAGTTTACAGAACAAACCATCGTTATACAATAACTTGCCTAATTGCCCTAACCTGCCAAGTTTACATAATTAACTCAGTTAAGCTTTTAAATGTCACTTTAAGCTGTATAGAAGTGTCTTAAAAATATCTAGTAAAATATTATTCACTGTCATCATGGCAAAGATAAAATAAATCAGTTATTAGAAATGAGATATTAAAACTATTATGTTTAGAAATGTGTTGAAGAAATCTTCTCTCCGGTAAACAGTAATTGGGGGGAAAAATAAACAGGGGAGCTAATAATTCTTCAACAACTTCAACAATATAATAGAACATTTTATAAATAACAATGTTTAATAGAACATTACTTTACAATATAAGCTAGCTGAAACTATGGTCATTGGTCCATGGATTTAAAAATGTAGGTCAATGGATTCCAAAACTTTAAGAGTCCTAAATGCAATACAGATAGATAGATGGATGGATAGATATTTCCTTTGCTTAGTTTTTTGTCTTGTTTCTTGTTCAAATAATTAAAATGGACTTGATTTAACTATTGAATCAAGAAGGTTTTTCTAGACTAGCAAAAATACTGTTTTAAGAAATAATATTGCAAAATTAAGCAGGTTTTTCCTTAAAACAATCAAAATAATCTGCTAATGGGTTAGGCAAAATAATCTGACACAAAATTAACTTGCAAAATTTGACAAGATTAATTTGCTTTTTTGTTGTTGTTGCTTGTTTTAAGGTAAAACTCACTTAATTTTGACATTATTTCTTAAAAACAACAATATACTTTGCTTGTTTAGAAAATGCTTCCTAAATGTTTACATACAGAAACAAGACAAAACTACGGAAGTAAAGCATTTTAGCAGTGTTAATATGTCATGAAGCTTAATTAATGACTCCCTTATTCTGTAAGAAATGCTTCCACACTAGTTTAGTTTTAAGAAGATGATAAAAACTCATCTTTTTAAGATTGCATTTTTAGATGCTTAATTATTCTAATTTGTTTATATTTTAGAATTTTTTAACGTATACATGTATTTTATTGCATGTTTAATTTCTTTGTTGTTGTAGCACTTTGGGTTTTAGAAAAGCACATTATAAATAAAATGTAAAAAAAATAAAAAATGGCTTGAGCAAGAAACTATAAGCCATTTCCAAAAGTAACACCATTAATTCACAGCTTTGATCATTTTTGCTTGATCGATCCCTCAAGTCAGTATTGCCGTGGCCATGCTAAACATTTCCCCCTTACACATACCTAAAAATGAACATCCACTGTTTTATATGCTCTTTTAATAACATATTCATTGTGTATGTTCAGAAAACTTTGAACAAAGTGAGTGAGTCATATAGACTACTGAAGGCTTTCGTTGTCATTTTTTGGATCTTCACAATACTTTTTTTTGACAAAGAACAATAGTCTGCTAAAATAATGCACACAAAAGAAAGCTGTGAATCACATAGGGGTATAACAATGTTCAACAAATATTCA